GTGTAAAACCCAGACTGCAAACTACAGACTACAGACCAGGGGTATTAAAATAAAAACAGACTGGTCACAGCCCTCCATTTTCTGTTTCTCGTATTTTTCTTCGATCGTTGAACGCGCGGAGAGAATCGCGAGAGAACTGGACACCGGCGCAAAACGGGAGACTTGACTGGGTATGGGGTGGGGACCGACCGTCCCGGTCTCCGCCCTCGCGTACCTCGCGCTCGCTTCGCTCGCTTTTTCGCGTGCGTTGGAAAATAAAGAGGCTTTGAACAGCCTAGGGGTAAAGTACCGACTGCAGACTGGAGACTTTTTAACTGAATCGTTTTACCATTTCTATTATCGAGGGCTAACCGTAAGCATGTTAACCGGAGAGTTATTCAGGCTAACCTGATTTATATCCAGCCTAACCGGAGCTCTATTCAGGCTAAACGGAGCGCAGATTTTCACTCCCCTTAGCCTGAATAACTTCTAGGTTAGTCTGTTTATGGTTAGAGCTTGATATTGGACACAACGCGATATACACTTAAAAAGTCTGCAATTTACAGTCTGCATTTTAACCCTCGGTCTACAGTCTGCGGTCTGCAGTCTGCGTTTTACACTGACCGTAATAACGGTGAGGTGGGCCTTGGGGAAGGGGGGACAGGGAACTTTGAATAGGAAAAATAGGGGTGTGGTATGTAAATGCGCCCATCACTAAAATTTTGTAGTCACTTGAAATCCGTCGATCCGTAGATGTTTTTTAATACAGAGTCTATGACTGACTCGTTGAAATCTGTCACCGTTAATAACGTGGAGCAAGTTTGTCGCATGCACCGGCTTTAAAGCACAGGCTGCCACAGGGAGCCCTCACATCAAACACGCACGATAAAGGTAGGTTGATTCATATTCTAAACGGATGTGAGGGCTCCCTGTGCGCTGCTTACGGCAAAGAAAATTCGCATGCAACCCTCATTACGTAACATCGTCTGACAATACCATCGTCGTAAAATTTTGAGGCATCCTTACCTACGACATTTTTCAGTCGTATCGTAGATGACTATCCCAAGCATGTGATAGGTTGGATTTTTAAGGCTGAAAAGATTCCGTCAGTAGATCTTCGCAAGTTTGTGCATGTGGCAAAGTTGCGCCGTCGAATGGTGGTTCTTACACCTTTCCAAACTGTATTAACTTCTTACTAACCGAGCGCGAGGGCCGCACCGGTGCAATATTGGCCCGAGGTCGTGGCAGTTAGTTAGGTTAGTACGTAGTTAACTATATGACAAAAAAATAAATAAATAAAAAATAACGGCTTGGAAACATGGAACGGTTCGTATGGCAAAATCCCGATCAAGGAAGAACCAATCAGAACGTTCAGATTTTCCTAAAGACTACCTTGCAGTCTCCTTGCCATATAATAAAGGAATTTATACCGTTCAATATTAGGTTCATTTGTCTAATCAGTTTAATCTTTCTCAATATCATGTATGTCACTCTCGCCCCATGGGTGATTATTGAAAGGCCGCTGGATGGGGAGCCCTTGTTTGTTAGGGGCGCTTATTGGAAGAAGGGCGCTAAATCGAATTATTACGGTACGCTTGTCCATTTGTCGTTACCGCTGTCCACAGACGACGGGTAGCGGGCTTGAGACAATGTTTTGATGTGGTATAAATATTAGAATTTATGGTGTTGGGCCTAAAACCATGGCTATTTTGACCGTTTAAAAGACAGTGTAATGAGGGTTATAATCAGAAAAGACCTTAAGACGTTTTACAGGTGAGAGTAACAACATCTTTTTATAACTTGATCAAATGATTAACGTGTCTAATCTAAATTTTAGTCCGGGGCAACACGATCTAAGACGCGCTCAAACCCGTCGCAAAAACAGAAGTTGTACACTTCAACGTATGCGCTCGTAATTTGAGGAGCTGGTTTTCTGAACCTTTTCCTGATAGCGCAATATTGAAATTTTATCCCGGAGGACTTTCTTGAAGGTCTTGTCGGATTTAACTGAAATCTACTTGGCAATGTGTCAGCGGAGAGCTTTCGTGGTGCTAACGGGTGTTACAGGTAGCTTATCAATTAGACACCATTCTATTACTAATACAAGCACCTGCTATGGCTGAGAATAGTTCCCCTATGAACATAGGAGGGCAGCTTCTCTTTTGAGTTTAAGGTAGCTCCATAGAGTATTTACGAACACCCTCCCTATAGAGCGCGCGTTAGAAGAGAAAACTTACTGAGTTAATTTATCTTAAAGTTTTCCCTGTAGAGATTTACCAGTATGGTTATTGTTAATTAACGCTTATTTTTTGGTTGTCAATTTTTGGATTAAGGCCGTTACCATGGCAACATCTCATCTAATGACAGGCAGATATATTCCTCAGTTTGACCTAAACTCCTTAATATTTATACTTTCCTTCGGTGAAATTTTTTCATACTTTGCCACATCATGGAAATGATATTGCCTGACATTTTGAATTGTAAAAAGACAAGGCTGTTCAGACAATTTTCCCAATATTTTGTAATTTGTGATTCTTCTAAATATATTAGATTAGCTCTGACAGATTTTAACGAAAATAGGGTATTTTATGGGAATTGTATGTGGTCCCAACAGAGCCGAATTTAGAAAAAATTCACCGAAGGAAACGCGAGAAAATTCACTGTCAGTTTTGCTTTTTGTGCTCATTTTGACGACCTTAAAATCGAAAAACGCTGACGTTTTCCTTTGAGTGCGCACAGGTAAACTTGAGCATTCGCCCCATGCACGCGTGCAATCGTAAAACTATAGGGAGCCACCTTAAACTTAGAAGGACCTCTTGACTTTCCTGACAATTGTAGTCTAGTCAGTTCACAAATCTGTTTTTAAAAAAAACCGAAGAGTTGCCGGTTCTTACCGTCTAATCACGGCATGGCAAGAGTAAGTGCGAACACGACCCGAAGGTTGTGACGTCATCCTGACGTCACATCTATGCGTGCTATAATAGCTAGGTTGCCTGGCACCCTCCCAGGCTAAAAACAATGTTGGCTTGAAGTCTCTTGAGGCGTAGGTTCTGGCGAAAACGATAAACATGGCCATCTTTCATAATCATATAATCTCGTATTTCAAATAAGTCAAATACGTGCATCGTGTTTTTCCATAAAACTTTTACAATCGATGATCTGTGATTGAAACATTACAATATCTACGAGTTTTGTTTGCCGGAAACAGATATTCTTGCAGTCTCTTTGAAATTTGAAATATAGTTTATTTGCCCTTTTGTTGCCTCGCTCACTTAATTCTAGATTTCTATGGTGACGACATCCTTTCCATTGGTATTAGCTTTTTAGTATCGTGTAAATGAACTTGCTAAACAGCTATTATTTATTTCAGGGAATTCGCAATTTGTACGAAAACATCGCTTGAGTCGAACTCGAGTTTCAGTGCACATGATACATCGAAGGTTAGTGGAAGGATTTTGTTCAAGTTATTGCATTTAACACACAAGAAAACCATCTTATCCGTGAATTTCTTTGGCCATTCGTCTGTTTCCCTGTACCACTTCGGCCAGATGATGTTGGAGGCGCGTTGGCCCCACGGTTGGGACGGTGTTCTTGGACAAGACACTTTACTCTCACAGTGGCTCTCTCCACCCAGGAGTGTAAATGGGTGCCGGCGAATTTAATGCTGGGGGTAACCTGCGATGGACTAGCATCCCATTCAGGGGGAGTAGAAATACTCCTAGTCCCTTCATGCTAAAGAATCCGGAGATAAGAGCCGGCCTGATGCTGGGGCTACTTGGCTCGTATGCAGACTTAACCTTACCTTACTTCGGCCTCATCAACTATCACCTCATAGAAATCGCGCGCTCATATAAATCTAATTGTTAAATTATATTCAAATGATGCCAGTCCGAATCTCTTTACTAACTGCTAAAAAGGTTAGCGTGCAGTTTTCAATTAGGTTCATATCAAAACCTTAATGATTTCTCTTAGTTGTTTTTTCAACTTGAATTTCAGATAAAATTCTCGAAAGATCAGAGCAACCATGGAAACGGATGTCGGCGAATTCGAATCGAAGAAGACACGAAAGACCAATTTAAGGAGCAAAAATCTACTATCGCGTTATTCGCCCACGAAGAGTAAGCAAATCCACAAAATAATACTAAAATATTTAGTTTTCTTCATTTCGCTCATTTTCGCAGCGGCTCTCGTTGGTGTTCTAACAAAACACGATTTTCTACCCTACTTCACCGAGCATGCGCGAGAGCTGTCAAAACATCGCACCAGGGGAGAAGAGGTCGAGTTTCACTTCGTTCATAACATTGAGAAGTTCCCTCACAAAGATCTACGTCTTCCTAAGGACTTGAAACCGCTCAGTTACAAACTGGATTTGCGAGTGAATTTGACAACGCTTAAGTACAATGGAGTTGTAAAGATACAAATTGCTTGTGACCAAACAACTCGATATGTTATCCTTCACTGCGGAGATCTGGATGTAACCAACGTTTCCGTGACAACAGTAGAGAACAGCCGAGAGAAAGGAATGCTGCTCAAGAGAATCCTTGCTTTCAAGGAACACCAACAGCTCTGTATAGAGCTCAGAGACGCTCTTCGCAAAGAAGGATTTTATTACGTTACTTTGGAGTTTAAGTCCAAGATTTCCGACAGATTGGAAGGATTCTACAAGAGTTCGTACACTACTGAAACAGGGGTGAAAAGGTCCGTGGCTATCTGAATACATATTTCGTAAGCTTATTTATGTTTGTAAACTCCTACTATTGCTTCATAAATGTCGCGTAACATTTACCAAACAATCAGAGTCAATTAAGGTGCCCTCTCGATCAATCAAGTACAGCCGCCAAAGCCAGTCGTGATTCCTCCATGTTCGCGCACTTTTCGGAAATTCAGAGCGCCTCATAACAATTTGGCAAAAGAGGGAAAAAAACAATCTGGACATTTCTGGATACAAACTTCCTGGAAATTATTTTCGGAAATCTTTCTGTTTTGGAAATTCGTTTCGAATATTCAGGATTTCAGAGTTATTCTATACCGTTTTACCCAGTTGTAATGAAACGCCAACTGCCTAGCCTTCTTTGAAGACAAATGTTCGCACTTCTGTCGTCAAGGTATTTCCTATGGAGGCCCTTTTCGGGATACGGGATATTAACGGGATACAGGTTATTTTGGGGAAAAATTTATGGGGTGGGATATTTAGAGCAGATAAACTTGGATATCTAGTAGGAAAATTGTTAATTTTTGCTACTTAAATAAAAGGTATACAGGAATTTAAGCAAAAAATTAGTGGGATATGGGATACTGAGAGCCCCTTCTCCTCCCCCTAATGAGGCCTCGCTTTAGGCGACCTCTTTCGGTGGTCTATTGACTCCAACTGAGCGTTTCGAACAAATGGGAGACACCCACATCGTTTGTTTGTTTGTTTTAGTGTTTGCTCACTAACTTAATTATTAACTCCCGTATTCTTTCACGTTTTCTTTTCAACAGAACACTAGCTGTGTCTCATTTTGAGCCGGCTCACGCCAGGAAAGTGTTCCCCTGTTTCGACGAACCCTCATTTAAAGCGTCCTTTACCATATCAATAACCCACGACCCTCAATATTATGCCCTCTCCAATATGCTCCGGGTCGGGCGCGTGACCAGGAAGGATGGACTTGTTGAGGAACACTTTGCCCGTAGCGTCAACATGAGCTCCTATCTTGTGGCTTTTGCAGTGCTGGACTTCAAATACAAAGAGAAGACGACCGGCTCGGGAGTATTGGTATGATTGTTAATGTAGTTGGGTTTGTTTGTTGGATATAGTGTATGCTTTAGTGATGGCTCTCCGGTCAGGGTTTTCTTGCGGCGGCTTGTTCTTTTATTACAAAGCTCCGTTTTCATGATGGATTAGTGTGGACGTTTTCAAATTCCTCTGGCGTAGTGTGGACGGGGCGTTAAATGATAGCAGAAAAGATTACTGAATAAACAAGAAGGTGTGTGACATTTTTAGTGGGAGAGAAATATGTTAGAGTGCGCCTTGACCGCGATTGTTTTTTCAGTTGAAGTTAGGTCAATGGAGTAGTTCGTAATTTAGTACCAAAAATTCCGGAACTTTCGTGCATTTCGTTTGGGACATTTTCTTGCAAAGTTTCTTGAAAATCCGAAAATTGTTAAATTTTAGAAATACAAATCATTCAAACGAAAACTCCGGAAATTCCAGGAGGAAAACCAAATGGAACGGAAGTTCCCGGCGAGAAATTTTCGAAAATTTGGGCCTAAAACACGAGGGGTGCTTTCCATTCGACTAAAATCTCGTGAATTCCCGCACTGCAACCCCTAGACAAGTTCCCAGTGTGCAATTCCACAATCTTTTGAGACCGATTGATGATGTATGATGAGGGATCTTTAAACTTCTGTTCATTTTGGTTGGCAGGTTAGGGTCCATGCCCCACCCGATGATTACGACCGTTTGGAGCACGCCCTGGAGACTGGTGTGAAGGTGTTGTCTTATTACGAGAAGCTATTTGGAGAACCTTTTCCTCTTCCTAAACTTGGTAAGTAAGACATCATGTACATTTTTGTTTCCCTTTTGAACTGTAAATCTGGAAAGGATGTCTTCTTGTCGCCATCTTTTAATAATTTGCGAGATCTTGCGAGCTGTAGCTTCGTTCTTAAAATCACGTATTGTCTCAGTGCTGTCACGTGTTGTGTCAGTGCTGTCACGTATTGTCTCAGTGCTGTCACGTGTTGTGTCAGTGCTCTCGTGTTGTCTCAGTGTTGTCACGTGTTGTGTCAGGCTGTCACGTGTTGTGTCAGTGCTGTCACGTGTTGTCTCAATGCTGTCACGTGTTGTCTCACGTGTTGTCTCAGTGCTGTGTTATTTAAAATCACGTGTTCTCCCTTGTTTCCAGATATGCTAGCTGTACCCGACTTTCTAATCGGTGCGATGGAGGAATGGGGACTGGTGATGTTCCGGCGATCTTATCTTGTGTACGATGAGCAGTTTTGTTCAACTGATGTCAAACTAGCGATGACCAAAGTCATAGCACACGAGCTGGCTCATCAGGTGATCTATGCTGCCAATCATCTTGCCAAGATGGTCAGCAATATAATATTTCAAACTACTGTAAAACTCACAGCACCATCTGAGAGTATGATGCGATAGCGTTGGTGCGAACGGTCGCACACTAAGTAGACTACAAGTAGTGCCTCTTTCGCTTAGTCTGTCGTGCGTGAAGCCAAAGGATACGCGCGCTCCTCGCCCCCAGGATTTCGCGCGGCCATTTTTTTCTCGCGGTTTTCTTTCGCGTCACGCACGACGGACTAAGTGAAAGAGTTTTCTTTCGCGTCACGCACGACGGACTAAGCCAAAGAGGGACTACTCGTGGTTTACACGCTAAGGTTTCGTCCACAGGCTCGAGAGTTAGAAGCACCTTTTACGGCGTAACAAACAGTACCATTAGTGCATGAGGATGGGGCCACCGCGCCTCCCTCCACACGAATGAACTGCTCAATAACTTTTATTTAAATAATCACACCATAAACTTATCATCCAATGATTTGAGAGTTAGCGCCACATTAAAATACGTGTAATAAGAGTAAAGTACAGGTCTTTGATCAAGAAAATACGTTACGACATATCGTTGTTTGTTTCAGTGGTTCGGGAACCTGGTAACAATGAGATGGTGGGACGACCTGTGGCTGAACGAGGGATTCGCCATCTTTGTCGAGGATGAATTTGGAGCTAATCATGTATTAGATGGCTGGAACATGGTAATTACACCACCAGTCTATACAATTCATGCAGCGCNTCCCTTGTTTCCAGATATGCTAGCTGTACCCGACTTTCTAATCGGTGCGATGGAGGAATGGGGACTGGTGATGTTCCGGCGATCTTATCTTGTGTACGATGAGCAGTTTTGTTCAACTGATGTCAAACTAGCGATGACCAAAGTCATAGCACACGAGCTGGCTCATCAGGTGATCTATGCTGCCAATCATCTTGCCAAGATGGTCAGCAATATAATATTTCAAACTACTGTAAAACTCACAGCACCATCTGAGAGTATGATGCGATAGCGTTGGTGCGAACGGTCGCACACTAAGTAGACTACAAGTAGTGCCTCTTTCGCTTAGTCTGTCGTGCGTGAAGCCAAAGGATACGCGCGCTCCTCGCCCCCAGGATTTCGCGCGGCCATTTTTTTCTCGCGGTTTTCTTTCGCGTCACGCACGACGGACTAAGCCAAGGAGGGACTACTCGTGGTTTACACGCTAAGGTTTCGTCCACAGGCTCAAGAGTTAGAAGCACCTTTTACGGCATAACAAACAGTACCACGAGTGCATGAGGACGAGGCCACCGCGCCTCCCTCCACACGAATGAACTGCTCAATAACTTTTATTTAAATAATCACACTATAAACTTATCATCCAATGATTTAAGAGTTAACGCCACATTAAAATACGTGTAATAAGAGTAAAGTACAGGTCTTTGACGAAGAAAATACGTCACGACATATCGTTGTTTGTTTCAGTGGTTCGGGAACCTGGTAACAATGAGATGGTGGAACGACCTGTGGCTGAACGAGGGATTCGCCATCTTTGTCGAGGATGAATTTGGAGCTAATCATGTATTAGATGGCTGGAACATGGTAATTACACCACCAGTCTATACAATTCATGCAGCGCTAATAGATTGGCTGGGTGTTTACAGAAGAGACACATAATCCGTCCACACATAATAATTACGCGTCTGCGAGAATATAGGTCTTGTGTGAAGGATATTGAGGCTGAAATTGACGAAATTTAAAGAATATGTTAAGAACATTCCAAAGCCGGCGCTTATCTCCAGTTTCTGTGGCACGAAGCGACTAGGAGTATTGTTACTCCCCCCTGGATGGGACGCTAGTCCATCGCAGGGTTACCCCCAGCACTAAATTCGCCGGTACTCATTTGTACACCTGGGTAGAGAGAGGCACTGTATGAGTCAAGTGTCTTGCCCAAGAACACAACACAATGTCCCCTGCTAGGGCTAGATGGAGTTTAACTGACAGCTTATTTTTTTCAGCGGGAACCAGTTGTATCTACCAGCTGGCAGTCTGCTTTGCAAGCTGATTCCGCTCGGTCATCTCATCCAATCAGCGTCAAGGTTCAAAGACCGGAAGAGATTGACGACATATTTGACACCATCTCTTATCAGAAGGTGAACAGGCCATTAGGGCATGCGTTTAGCGGAAGGAGTGGGTAGGGGGTGGGTAGTCGGGCATAATTTCTTCCACTATTAACTGAGCCAGCATGCTTTCACTGCGAAGGTGCTAAGTAACATAATGACGTTAGAAGTTGGTGCTGTACTTCTGATTGGATGAGAAAAGTCCGTCTGTTCATTTTCTGCAACTTTGAACTAGAAAAACAGTACTTGTTTCCGGACTGAGTTTTCTATTCATTATCAGTGGGAACCATTGCGGTTTCGTACCGGATTTTTGGAGTAANAAATATTTGTCTGCTTCCCAAGGCAAATGGAAATATCGACGTAAAAGGATTAATGAAAGTTTGGACAGATCAGAAAGGATTTCCCATCGTTAACATACGAAAGCAGGGAGGCGTGTTTCACGTTGAACAAGAAGACGTCCTTGAGGATTTAAAAAAAGAAAATAAACAAGCAGAGAACAGGTAACCAAGAGTGAAGTAACCATGGTTTCTTTCCCCTTCGGGTACTAAATTTTCGCGCGTAAATTATAACCAATCACAGGTACAATACGGATCTCTGAAGACCTATGTCATCAGAGTGAGATTTTTCGACTCCAGTCTCCGACATCTCTCGAGCGCACGAAGAATTGAGCCCGCGGAGAGAAATTTCTGTTCGCTCGGACTAATCAAAATCTTGGTATACACATCTTTTACGCGTCGACAGATAGGGAGAGCACTCTTTGGACGAGCTTACATTGCGGCTCGAACGCCTTTTGACAGGTCCGTAACAGCTCTCAAAAACTAAGTTAAAAAACTCCCGCCTGTCGCGATAGTAAGATGTGTATGTAGCTAGCATATAGCGGTGGTGATCTTTGTGGTATCATCTTTGTATAAACATGATATCTTTTGTTGAAATGTGTTCTTAGGCAGAAGTGGTCAATTCCCTTGTCTTACGTCACACAGTCCCATCAAACACCGCGGTGGGTTTCAATATCACCAACCTACAGTAAGTATGGAAAGTTTTCTCCAGTTGAATTTGTCACTTCCGAGTTGCCTTTTGCCTCTGTGTCAAAGCGAGTCTTCGTTTGAGACTATTCGTATAAAAATGTATTCCACCTACATGTTCATTTTCATGCAAATCAAACTCATTTTCATTTGAAAGGTTTTGCACGGACTCGTTTTGAAACAGAGGCACACGGTAGAGCAAATAAAAATGCCATTTAGATGGACCAACTTTATTACCTAACGGAAATCTGATCATTAAAGTGAGAATCGTAGATTAAACTTTCATCCGTGCTTTCATGTGACATTTTTAAGTATGTAACACAATGCAGTGGACAAACGGCCGGGATCAATATGGCCGAAGATACTTGCTACCGGGAAAGAAATAATAATTCCAGTATGCAAATCCTTGAGAAAACTGATGTATAAGCATGACGGGAATGTCTTTCGATTTCTGTTCTGCTGTATCCAAGGACAGCGTCCACTTTGTGAATATTGGCGCTGCTACTATATATACCGCCAGCTATCTTGGCAACTAAGCACTACAATCCAAGTAAATATTTGAAAGATCATAAGCACTACAATGTCTGGCAATTCAGTCATTTCTGAGTCTCTGTTTAGAATCGTACCCGCTAAAAGACGCCTCCACAGATGGTTGGATAATGGCTAACGTCAACGCCACAGGCTTTTTCATGGTAAACTATGACGAGGAAAACTGGAAAAAGCTTTCAGCGCAGCTCAGAGAAGATCATCAGGTAACTTACTGCTGTTTTCCAGGTAAGAAGGTTTTATTAGCATCATGCTCTCTTAAATTAAAAACGTTGTGCCTTTTACAGGTATTCAGTCCGTCTGACCGAGCTGGTTTGATTCACGACGTTTTTACTCTTTCTTGGTGAGTAATTGAATGGGCTCGCCCTTAGTGTAATATGGTTTTTAGTTTTATGTCTGATTGGCTTAGGAGGAGACTGGAGTATTGAAAACCAATTCTCTGTAGGAAAAAGAATGGCGACTGGTATATTTACCCATCAATCTTAGCGCAAGAAAACGTTAACAACGCTCAAAAACAACGTACAGAAAAGTTCATTTTCAAGTCTAGCACAGGGACAAATGTTCCAAAAATATGGCTTTCCTTGTACTTTATGGGCTGTGTAAGGTTCGCATGTTATTGTGTTGAATTAACAGCCTACGGGGGATCACAGAGTACAATGAAGCGAAATAAAAGCAATCCCAGATTACTTTCAACACCCAATTGAAAACTGATTTAAAGCTCAATCCCCTGTGCCGGTATAAATCGCTACTTAACAACGAAGTCCTGCTTTTTATTTTGTTTTCTAGTCGAGGCTTACTAGATCCAGTCCTTGCCCTGAATTTGTCGACGTACCTGATACGAGAGCAACACCCAGTTCCCTGGTCTGTGGCGAGACACGTGTCCAAGTGTCTCACGGGAGTATTTAGTAAACCTCACAAGCTGTTGTACAAGGTACACACAACCGTCTCATAAGGTTTTTTTTTACCGTCGGTTGCAGACACTAATTAGTTTTATTAAGCCCAGGTTCTAACATGTGTTGACGTTTTCTAGCTCTAGTCTTGATCGCTGAATTTGAGGAGTGAAACGTTAGAAGCAATGTCAGACGGGTTCATGCGTGTGATAAATAATGGAAAGATGGTAAATGTTCAGCTCGAAGAATACATGATAGGGATAAAATGTTCATTTGTCATGAACGTGGTATAAAGAAAGATAACATTGGCAAAAAAAATAGTTGAAATGCTATTATATTGCTATCCCTGAGGTAGACGGCTAGAGGCAGAAGATTAAAATCCATTTCACTTGATGAATTGTGTTTCAGCAATTCTTGTGGCACCTTCAGGATCATCTTATTGACTTGGTCGGCGCGGAGGACACTGGGACTGACCAGGAAAGGTGCGTCACTATCACGTGATAAGAACAGGCCATTTCCGAGTTACCTTGAGCCTCTGTTTCAAAACGAGTCCTCGTGTAAAACCTTTCATATGAAAATGAGATTGATGTACACGACAGATGAACCTCTAGGCGGAACACATTTTCGTATGAATGGTTTCACAAAAAGACTCGTTTGGGGCAAAAGCCAACTCGGAAATTTCAATGGCCGGGTTATCATTTTATCGTTCAGCTGTCTGAGGTTTATTTGGTTGTTCAAACGTCAACAAACATTTTATTATTTGAACAGCACATTTTGCAAAACAACATGTCTAGCTAGTAGAATAGTCGAGCGTGTTAGTCCAGTCTAGCTTGCAACTAATTTCCTACCCAGTTCTCGCGCTGTTTTGCACTGGGGTGATCTGGGTTCAAGGTTACCTGGCAACCGTTTTATGGCACTTTACGCAAGCGCTTAAATAGGAGCACTACGCGACGTCCCAATGAACGACTGCAAAGGACAGTATGTTAATATCACGAGGAAAGCGTGTGAAAAAGTGAGACACTTAAGTGATCGTTGCGTTCCCCGTTAATTATTTTCGCAGTAGTGCCGGACCAGCTGAAAACGTCTTCATAAAAGTCAATATATTTATGAGCAGACAGCCGATGTCAACAAAGAAAAGTTATCAACAGGGATATGTCTCACAAAATTAACTGGACAGAAATTTAAGGCAGTCAGCTAAGGGAGTTGAGAAGAAACGAGCTTTTGAACTTGGGACTTCGAGCTTGAATTTTAAAAACAAACCTTGAAAATTGCCTTTCTTTGTCTGGAAAATAACGTTTGACCCGTTGATGTTTTAGCTAAAAGTGTTACTGTTTTTCTCAGGTATTTTAGATATGACGTGCTCTCTGAAGCCATGAAAAGCGGTCAGAGAAAAGACATCAATGAAAGATTCGTTCGTTTGTTTAACGAACTGAGAAACACCTCTCTTGGAAGGTAAATATTATTTTACACTAAGTTATAAACTCTGTTTCGCTGCCTTTCAGTTCATTGCAACTAATTGATTAATTGAAATTGTGTGACATTTTTTTATTTGGTTTTTAAAACACGTTCAGATCAATATATTCCCTTTCTTTACTTCCTCTCCTCAGTCTCCCAGGTGTGGGTGCCAACTTCCGGAACCTGGCTTTCTCATTCGGAGTCAACAAGTCAAGCGAGGGAGACTGGGACTACCTCTGGTCTGTTTACCAACACTCTCCTTTTGACACAGACAGGAAGTTCTTGATGAATGTTATTACGTCATTCAATACAGACAGCCTCAGATCCAGGTATTAAATCATATCTTGATCTTCAGCTTATGCAGAGTTCTCGATTCACCGAGCAATCTGTAGTTTGTCCACAGACCCTCTATTTTGTCTTGAGTTCGTCGAGATCGCAAGCATAGCAAAATATTAACCCGGTGGGTGGGATATGAACGAGCCAAAACGCAAGAGGGTGGGACTGGGGACGCGCGCTCGGAGAAAAATAATTCGTAGCAAAAAACTAAACGTCTGTGGATAGACATAGCAATCCGTTCCCGGTTGTTCAAAGAATGGAAAACGCTATCCACTGGTTGAAACACAATCGGATAGAGTTCTTACGGAACGTTTATCGGGAAGGGAATACACGAAGCGAAGTGGGATTAGTGAGGGCAAGGTGGGAAGCGGGTTCACATAGTGGAATGGGAAAGTCAAGGAGGGAAAATTCAAAGTGGGGGATACCCGGGATAAATATAGCCAAGCAATTTTGAATGACATCGTTACAGTAAATCTGAATTTGTAAGATACGCAATCCGTGACATACAAAGAGGGATAGTTGCACATTTGATTATTCAATAAGAGTTACAAATAATCATGCAGGGTCAACTTTTACTCGGCCTGCAGGGGCTACATTTTCACATACAAACACTTGATAAGGTTGCCTCAGGGGGAGGGTTATCTCGGGTACCCGAGACCATATAAATGGGACCTGTACTTGTGTTGCCTCAAAGAACACCCCACAATTTTCAAAGGGGAAGGTCCTTAAACAGGACCTTAACTTAGGGCAGCTTCAATGGCAGATTCTCTCTGATGGCTCGGATTTGAATAATTGATTTAATTACTTTTAAAGAGGACTAGAACTCAAAAATCTTGTTCAAATTTCGATCCAGCGAGACATAAGCTTCCATGCCGTGAATCAAGATTTACTGGGCGTTTTAAAAGCACTCACCAAAGAAAGAGACTGATGACCCCAAAGTACCAATATATATGTACTCAGTGTACTGTATCTAACTGAAAACAACAATCTTCAACGAGAGATGAGGGAATGTGGGATACTGACCTTCAGCATGCGATCCAGCTTGTCTCTTCTACCAATATATGTGAGCCACGAGCAACAAAAGCTCTGGTGACAGCGACTTTCGGAGCTAAACGGCTTCTGTTAATTATGTTCCTGTAGTACACAATGCAAACTATGGCCAGCAATACTTCATCCAGGTTGTTGTTAACATTATAGGCTATTGCACTTATTGTTATCACTAAATCACGAACAACAA